CGGCTTTTTTTCTTTTTGCTTATGTGGTGCTGGGGAATCGAACCCAGGGCCTCAGGCATGCAAGGCAAGCCCTCTACCACTGAGTCACCTTCCCAGTCCCTTGGTCACAATATTATGGGTGAATTTTTTATTAAAAATCTTTATTAAACAGAAGGGTTACAGTTACATAAGTAGGAAAACTACATTTCCTCTACGATAATGTTATTCTGTCCCTTATTCTTTCCCATCAATTATTAGTGTATAATAAATGCTTTTATCCTCCAACCCAAGTACACTAATTTTATTTAATGTACTTACTTTTTGAAGAGCTAGATGTTCTGAAGAAAGCATGGTTTCTAGAGGCAAGCAATTCCGAAGGTCATCCGCTATGTTTTTCAACATAATGTCAGTATTATCGTGTATGAATTCATCAAAATCTCCTGGGAAAAGAAGAAAATAGCTCTTATACTTGTAGTTATACCTAGATCAAATGATTACCATGAGTATATTTTCCAGTAGATAGCTTCAGTTTAGAGCCGGGCACTGGTGGCTCATGCCTGTAATCCTAGCTACTCAGGAGGCTGAGATCTGAGGATCGTGGTTCAAAGCCAGCCCAGGCAGGAAAGTTCATGAGATTCTTATCTCCAATAAACCATCAGATCTCATCCCTGAGTTCAACAACATGTCCTAAGATTTGGCACCCACTTCATTTTATGTATTTATTTATTTTTGGGTCCAGTTGTGGGGCCTGAACTCTGGGCCTGGGTGCTGTCCCTCAGCTCTTCAGCTCAAGGCTAGCGCTCTATCACTTGAGCCACAGCGCCACTTCTGGCTTTTTTCTTTTTGCTTATGTGGTGCTGAGGAATTGAACCCAGGGTCTCATGCATGCAAGGCAAGCGCTCTGCCACTGAGCCACCTTCCCAGCCCTTGGCACCCACTTTATACTAAAGTTGATAACAATCATTTTATGCCTGACATTGGATGTTCTAGTAGGAGAGGAGGGGAAAGGAAGCTCTATACTTGAACCATTCACTCTTACAGCATGCGGAATTTCTCTTACAGCATGCGGAATTTCTCACCCCCTCTCTTTTGTGCTAGTATTGGGGCTTGAACTCAAAGCCTTGTGCTCTCACTTGGTTTTTATGCTTAAGGCTGGTGTTCTACCATTTGAATCACACTTCTACTTCCAGCTTTTTCCTGGTCAATTAGAGATAAGAGTCTCATGTACTTTCCTGTTCAGGCTGGCTTTGAACCATGGTCTTCAAATCTTAGCCTCTTAGTAGCTAGAATTACAGATGTGAGCCACCAGTGCCCAGCTATAACTTTCTTATATTAAATTCTTGATAGAGTGAAGGAACTCAAGTAGATTATGTCTTTTTTTACTGTTAGCTGTGAAACTGTATGCTGTGATTGAACACACCTGTAATTTCAGTACTTGGAAGTAGAGAATAATCACAAGCAAAAGTCAGTTTAGGCTACGTAGCAAGACTGTCTGCCTCTATTTCCCAACAAAAAATAGCTGAATGGGTTGAGGCTGTAGGCCAGTGGTTGAGCACATCTTTGGAAAGGGTGAATTGGAAAGAAGGAAGGAGGGAAGGAGGAAAGAAAGGGAGGAAGGGAGGGACGAAGGAAGGGAGGGAGGGAAGAAGGGAGAAAGGAAGGAAAGTAGGGTGTGAGGGAGGGAGGGGAAGAAGGGAAAAATGCCAGAGAAGGAAAACAGGAAATCTTGAAAAAATGCATCCATTTCTGCAATCTCTAAATGTTTTTAAATAGGCTCATAATTTCCTTATTCCTAGCTACTCAGAAGGTTGTGTGTGATCTGTGGTTTAGAGCCAGCCCAAGCAGAAAAGTTTCATATAGAAACTAAGTCATTTAACTATTATCCTGAAAACTGTGATTTTTGTTTTCATTACATCACTCTGTATCCTACATAGATAGGTCTTCACTCTGCATCCTATTTCTCTTTGAGCAATAGTAGTTAATGCTAGGATCTATTATTTCACTCTCTAATCTGATAAGAAGACCTCTTAACTCTTTTCTTTTCTCCAGTATCTAGTATAATATACTAAGCTACTGCTTCAAATAATTTCTAGGAGATAATATAAATTACACACAAACAAAAGCTGTATTATCAAAACACATTTCAAAATTGCTCCAGATAGAACTTAAGTAGCAGGACTGGGAAGGTGGCTTGCCTTGCATGCCTGAGGCCCTAGGTTCGATTCCTCAGCACCACATAAGCAAAAAGAAAAAAGCCAGAAGTGGCGCTGTGGCTCAAGTGGTAGAGTGCTAGCTTTGAGCTGAAGGGCTGAGGGACAACACCCAGGCCCAGAGTTCAGGCCCCACGACTGGACCCCCCCCCAAAAAAAAAATAACTGAAATACCATCTTTGGTTTTACCACCCTGGCCCTTTTCCCTAAAATTTAATTAAATTTTCTCAAGGTGCTAATACTTAAAATTCTACTTAGATTCCCTCCAGAGACAGACACTATAGAAGAGCTTCTAAGATTCAAATTTTATTCTACTAATATTACTTACATCTGCAATTCTTGTAGATGGTATAAAAAGGTAAAAACACCTTGAAGTAAAATATTTCATGGTCCAACTTCTTTAGGTTTAGTTCTGAATACAATCATAATAATGAAACAGTTTACATATAAAATCTATGAGTCTTAGAACCTTTTACTAAGTGGCAGAATACCATGCAGGAATCTTTGGGTATGAAACGTAATTGTTCAGTTTTTAACACATTCAAGAACAGCATTTCCCTAGATTATGCCAGAATTGACCTATGACTCTGCTATTAGTGTTTTTTATTTTTCAATTCAGCCTGAAAAGTACCATTTTTAATGCATGAGCATACTAAACTTTGTGCAGTGCTTCCTTGGCCAGTTGCTGGTGGCTCACACACCTGTAACCTTAGCTACTCAAGAATGAGCTCTGAGGATCATGGTTTGAAGCCAGTCCAGGTAAGAGTCTCTGGGTTTCTAATCTCCAATTAACCATCAGAAAACCAGAAGTGGACCTATGGCTCAAAGTGAGAGCAATATAGCCTTGAGCAAAAAAGCTAAGTGACAGTGCCCAGGCCCTGAGTTCAAGCTCTCTGACCACCACCAACAAAAAGTCTTGAAGATGATTATTATAAAATTAATTTTACAATGAAAGAATCTTGAGATTAGGTTAAATTACTTCCTAAGGTCACGCTGGCCAAAAACTCAAAAGATTTAAAGGCAGGTCCAAACCTGATTTCTGAACTACCATATGGTTCAGCCTCTCTAAAGGGCAAAAGCAGCTAACAATCCTTACTCTGGTCCTCTTCCCCTCTCCTCTTCTTAAATCTCAGCATGGCTCTTCATTTGATATGACAGCCATACCCTTCTGCCATCTATTTGCTATCTTCTAGCCTTGCTCAACAGCTCCTTTAAATGTGACCCTGACATAAAATGATCTGGTCATCTGGCTCTTCAGTCCAACATCACTTTAGCATATTTTAACTATCAGTTTGCAGAACTTTAATTCAGAGTGCTACTGCTATTGATGAGTTGTAAAGGTGGTGATGGTAGAGGCCCATAACATGATTATATGTAACATCTAAGGAGTAACAGAACTGGGAGAGAGAGGCTTCAATTTTTGCGGAGGCAAACTCCCAATAAACTTGGGAATTACCAGTCAAGATGAAAGATGCTGTGTGCTGAACCTTCTTAGACAACCTATACACATGGTCAGAAAAACACAATAGGCGTTTACACTAAACCAGATTTGCTTTTGTATGTAATGAGAGTAGGGTTAGGCATAAATACTTAGAACAGTGAAATGGCAACATTATTAGGAAGTTGTACAGTTCTCCCCATACACTCACAGGGAACTTTTCTAGAAACAGCTGTTCATTACAAGACTTAAGCTTTGGCTATCATCACAGTCCAAAGGAAATCTGATTATCAAGAATCAGGTGTCTCCATCTTAGACTTGCCCAAAAGCCAAAACCTGCTGCTAAACACTAAAACCCAGGGGGGGGGGGGCGGAGAAGGAGACAAAAACACAGGAGCTAGACTTTTGGAACTTTCTATGGGAAGAATAAACACAAGGAACTAATTTTCAAGCCGGAAAAAACGACTACATATGTAATCCTGAACCGTGCACCCGAATTACTCTTCAGCTAATACTCTAACTGGCAGCACTGAACAAACACTACACTTAGTAGAAAATACTGGCCTATCTTATAATCACCACATCAAAACCCTAAAACTACAAATAATTAAAAATGCATAATTGTGGGGCTGGGAAGGTGGCTCAATGGTAGAGCGCGCTTGCCTTGCATGCATGAGGCCCTACGATAGATTCCCCAGCACCACATAAACAAAAAAGCCGAAAGTGGTGCTGTGGCTCAAGTGGTAGAGCGCTAGTCTTGAGCTGAAGAGTTGAGGGTCAGCGCCCAGGCCCAGAGTTCTGGCCCCACGACCTAAAAAAAACCGGCATAATTGTGAAAAACCAAGCTTCAAGCGTTAACAAAAACTTGTTAACCCAACAATGGCATCCAATAATGCTTTTAATCCTAACCAATGAGAACAGAAATTTAAAAATAATGGAAACCCAGTAAAAACAAAAAAAAATGCAGAAAACTTTCATCTCCAATAAGCCCCCACCAAAAAAAAAAAAGCAATAATGTAGTTTTGAGAATGACCCAGACGCTCAGTTCGATCTCAGAAACAGCTCAAGCTCTCCAACACTAAAAGAGAAAAAAAAAATGCTTACAAGTCTACCATTTAAACCAACTTATCAGGGGAGAGCGCGAACGCAGTCCCCCACTACCACAAATTATGCAGTCGAGTTTCCCACATTTGGGGAAATCGCAGGGGTCAGCACATCCGGAGTGCAATGGATAAGCCTCGCCCTGGGAAAACCACCTTCGTGATCATGGTATCTCCCCTGCCAGGTAAGTATGAGTTGCTAACTGCTTTCGACCCACACCCTGGCGCCGGTCTCGCACTACACTCACGGTCACCTCCATCGCGTGGCCTCCCCACCCTCATGCCCTTCAGAGCTCACTTGGCTTCGTAGTTGCCGACCGGAAAAATCATCCTGTACGTTTTGAATATTGCCCACGCGGGACATGGAGGACCAAGATAAGTGGGACCAGCAATCTCCGCGCGCCTCTAATCTGCATACGCCACGCCCTCGCGGCGACGTTAGTAATTGCTTCTGTTTCATGCAGGTGCGGAACCTTCACAGTAGGATTTACGAGAGGTTGACTCTTGACTTCTAGTTGAAGTGTTTCTTTTTCTAGTTCAAAGTTTAAAAGTTAAATTGAGCAGTCTGTCGGCCAGGCAGCCCTCGAGTGGGTTCCTACTTTGTATTTTCAGTGGTCTGGGGCAAGCCCTCTAAAATGTCTGAACAGCTTAACTTTGAAACAAGAAAATAAGCGCCGTTACAGACCTAAGAC